GCTGCTGCGCCCGCGAGGCCTCGCATCTGACCAAGCGTTGTGTCGAGGCTGGTGCCAAGCAGCGAGTGGCCCAGGCTCTGGGCCGGAGCTGGGGTTTGCTGGGTGAAGGCTTGGGCTGGGCGTTATGCTGCCCCCACCTGCTTGCCCCCTGTGTAGGCCGGGCCCCCGGTGGGGCTTGGAGGCTCGCAGCAGAAGTGGTTCTTCCCCCGGGAGCGACTTCAAACCACCCCCTGGCATCCCGGCTGCAGGGCAGGGCCAGGACCTGCCAGTGCTGCACCTCTGGAGCGACCTGCCAGGGTCTCCAGCTGTGCCCCAGTTTTGGGCACCTGGGCACCCGCTCCCCTGTGGCACGGGTCCAGGCAGCTGGGCCAGGGCTGACTCGATGAGGGCATCAGCTCGGAGAGCAGCCGGTGGCACAAGGGGGCTCTTCAGGAAACAGCTGCATCCCCCCCCACCTCTTACTAGAGCCTTGGGCTTGTTTCACACCTGAGCTAGAGCAACCATGGGTCTACAAGCCGCCCTTCCCAGCCCAGCCAGCTCCAGGGCCCAGTTACAGCTTGGGGCAGCCCCCAGCCCCTGGCCAGAGTCCTGCCCCCCCACCTAATGAGCATCTTCCTGGGAGAGAGCACCCTGGGGGTCTGCCTTTGGTAGGGGGTGGCCTGCCCCCCACCCTGCTGCTCAGCTCTGTCCTCCAGCACCCGCCGTGGCAGCATCCAGCAGCTGCACAGGCCCGCAGCTTGAGTCAGGGCCGTGCAATGCACAATTCACTGGTCAGCTGCTCCCTGCCTCCCCTGCCCCTGGGCTTGAGCTGGGGGAGTTGCAGGAGCCAAACAGCACTGATAGTCAGTGCTGTGCTGGCATCACAGGGCTCAGAGCCCTGCTCTCCATGAGAGGCTCTGCGTGTGTGTGCATACGTATGCAGCAGAGGTGGGTTCCAGGCCCCTACTGCCAAAGGGGCAGCAAGTGGATGAAATGTGGGGAGAGCACAAGGACGTCAGGCAGCAGCAGCCAGCCTAGATTCACAGGTCGCGAGGCCTGGAGGCCCTTCTGTCAAGTCTGACCCTACTGGCCACAGGCCTGGAGCGAACTCCCGGCTGAGCTCTGAGACCAGGTGCTGGAAGCCCCGTGCTCACTGCCTTTGTGACACTGGCTCCATTGTCCCCCACCGAGGCCTGTGTCCGGCTGCGACGAAACAGCGGCGTTTCCTCAGTCGGGAGCTTCGACAGAGATGCCTTGTAGCAGGGCACCATGCTGCACCTGCCACTTGAAGGGGAGAAGCTGAGCAAGGACAGAAGGCAAGGCATAGAGCCGGCCAGCCCAGAGATGGGAGCTGCACAGGGCGCAGAGGGGTCCCCAGCCCAGAGGAGGGCTGGAATAGGGGAACCGAGCCCACCAGCCCAGAGAGGGGCTGAGCAGGGCACAAAGGCTTCCCCAGCCCACAGGGAGCTGCACGAGGGGCCAGAGACAGAGGGCAGAGGGACCCAGAGGGTCTGAGAGTCCCAAGAGAGGCTGAGGCAAGTAAGTGGTAATGCGTGTGAGGCATGGGTTGTGGTGTAGGGGAGAAGCAGACCACACAATCTGCCCTTCAGGCTGCAGGGGCGCTGCCAGGCTGAGAGAGCCTATTTAGCATGAAGGGTGCTTGAGACTAGCAGGGTCTGGGAGGGACCCATTGATGAGTTCATAGGACTCAGGCTTTCTCAGGCCCATGGGCAGCCTCCCTTCAGTAACAACAAGGCATGGCAGGAAAGCAGTCAGGGGAGGGCATATTAGAGATAGAGCCAGGCAGGAGCCACACAGCTACCAGGGGCATCATGGCCACCCATGGCTCAAACCTGTCAAGATCCTCCTTTCCAGCATGGACCAAGTCCATGCATTGTGCAGGGAGCAGCAGTCTCTGCGCAGTGCCTGCTGCTGCAGGGCCACACACCCTTGGAAGAAGGCTCATCTCTGCTCCCCTCTGGAGACCGTGGTCCTCCGGCGGCTTTCCCAGGACCTGCTCACACACCGGTGATGATGGCTGTGGAAAGGGCCACATCACTAGGAACAGCAGTGCTGCTCTACGGGACTGTGACAATGCACTTCATGCTCGCTCGTCTGCTGCAGTCCCTGGAGAGTCTGGCCTGAAACCCGGCTCTGCCCTTGCTGCTTCTCCAAAGCATGGCCACGCTGCTGTGATGGCATCAGATGAATCCTTCAGCACTGGGAGAGGCCAACAGACATGGACTGCAAGTGGCTGCTCCAGACCCACCGACACAGCATGGCCTCAGCTGGTGCAGGGTTACATGGGGGCAGTCTGGATGGGCCCAGCTCCAAACTGAAACCAAATGGGAGAGCAGGCGTGGGACGCTGACACTGAAACCAGAGGGGAAACTCAGACTGAAAGCCCAGGGCTGAAAGAAACAAAAATGACATGAACAAGAAACCTAGAGTGAGATGCTAAAGTCAGAATGAAACACCCAAGTTGCAGTGAAGTCAGACATGCAGCAACTCATCCACATCACTCCAAACGTGCCCAGGCCATGGTCTTGCCAAGGCTGTCCCAGTTTCACAAATGAACTGACTTATGAAGAAGTGATGCTCTCCATCGGAAAGGGCCCATCCCAGTCCTGGTCTCAAGCTGTGAGGTTGCGGTCTCTCCCTTGGTGCCTCCCCTCTAGGTGCTGGGCCCAGAGCTGGAGGTGCGTGATGACTTATGGATGGTTGTGTCTTCACTGGTGGCTGCTCTGAGTGCACCATCGACTCTTCTCCTGCCAACCCTGATGGCTATTTAGGGTCTCCCTGGCTATAAGATGGTAGGAGAAAACAGACTGAAGGAGGAAATCAGCAGAGCAAAGTCTGTGGGAAACCTTGGCTCCGTTGTCGTGTGAGCTTTTTCTTCTCCATCAGAAGCTCCAGCCTCCGTCAGCCACGGCAGCCCAAGCTCTGTTGCCCTAAGCCTTGAGCTGCTCTTGGAGGGGTTGTGCCACCCTGGAGGGCTCCTGGCTGCTGTGGCACACACAGCACAAATGCAGACACACACAAGTAGCACAGGCCACTCTCCCCATTGACTGGCCTGGGGAGCAGCTGTCATGTCGTTCACACCCTCAATGACACCAATCCTGTGGTTGCCTTGTGTTCACTTCACACCTGCACCACCCGCCCTGCCACCCACAAGGTGAGAGGAGGCAGGGGGCCCGCTCCTGCCTGAGGGGAAATGCCTGTCTGCGCTTTCCGTGGTGCTGGGATTGCCCGGGCTGACATGAGGAGCCTTCCTGGCTCCTCTGTGAAGGAGATGGTGAAGCAGCCCATGCTCAGGGCCACTGGCAAGGCATGAGGCTCTTGCAGCAGCTGCAGTTGCACTTGCCCATCGAGTGTCATGTTTCCTCTGTCGTTTATAACTATTTTATGACCTGCCTGAAGGCCCGGACAGATCGGGACCCCCTTAGACGGGGCTGCACAAAGGCAGAGGAGGAGGCAGCCCTGACCAGAGGAGCTCACAGCCCAACGGGCCCCGCTCCCCCAGCACAGACATGGAGCTTCCTTCCTTCTCATAGCCCAGCCAGGGCTGCACGCTGCTGAGCACAGCACTGCTGTGCCCGCTGCCACCGCCCTCGCCTGCACGGACTAGCGCTGGCATGTGAACAGAGCAGTCAGCAGAGCCAGAGGAAGAGGCATCTAGGTCGGTTTTATGGCAGTTTTCAGCTGCAAATAATTGCTGTAACAAACCTGAGCCAGTAACTGCTGTGACCTCCCCTGAGCGCCTGCTCACAAACTCATCCCTGTTGTTCTCAGGCTTATAGGCTGTGCGGCTCCCGTCCACCTCTGGACACCTCGCACTAGTTGTAAGAAGGAAAGAACTGAAGCATCCTTGTGCCAGGATTGCAGAAAAGCTTGTTGGAGAGCCCTGGAGCTGGGGGCAGTGGGGGAGTCACCAAGATGTGAATGTCATTAATGGAGGATGCAAAGGAATGACTAAACTGCCCCTTTTCTAAAAAAATAAAAGTCTTGGAAATGCCGCAGGAGACACGTGCAAGACTCTTTCAGTTGCAAACCCCAGCACTCGGTGTTAGGAAACGCTGAGCTGAGGCAGCTCAGTGTGCAGATGTTTCCAGCTCTGCCCTGACTCAAAGACAGCCCTTGCAGAAGCAGCAGTAAGCAGCCGTGCGTCACGCAGCCTACATGGAAGAGGGTAGAGTTAAGGCTGCATGTTCAGCCCTCGCTGGGCTTTCCTCACATTTCAGGGCCTACATGCAGCCTTGGCCAGCTGTGATAGACGGCTGTGAGAAAACCTTCTGGCTTCAAGCGAGTGGCTGGCTGGGGAACCCCGGTACAGGGGAAGCACGGGGCAGGGAAAGCACGCTGGGGAGCTGGCATGGAGAGCCTGGGGCCCGGTGCTGCATGGTGATGGGCAGGGTTGTTCCCTGCAGCCTTGCAGCTGCTGCATCATTTTCCCTTTTTGCCCTTATAGGTGCCAGTTGCACTGACCTTTCTTGTTTTGTGGACTACGCAGAGACGCTCTCCTGCTTCCTGAAAACAAACCTCAGCACCACCGGCGGGACCTCATATAACCTCACAGCAACATGGTACGTGTGTGCAGAGGAGGCAAAGCTAGCCACAGCTCACTGGTGGGCTCTGGGGCTTGCACGACTCCCGGCACAGGCCACCCGCAGCTGCAGCCTGCTACAGCTCCCATCTCCCTGGGGTCGTTGCTTCTCTCCCCACAAAGCTCAGCTGTGCCCTCAAGGCTGAGGCAGGGTCTGTTGGTGGCTGGCGAAGGACTTCATTAGTAACAGGAGGTAGATCCATGCTCATAGGATGTTGGCTGCCCCTTCCCCTCACCAGCACCTGGATTTGCCTCTGGCCAGGCCTGTGACCCTGCAGCACCCGGCCCTCATAGTTTCTAGGGTCGGAAGGGACCTGAGCAGATCATCTAGTCCGACCCCCTGCCATGGCAGGAAGAGCATTGGGGTCAAATGACCCCAGTAAGGTGGTCATCCAACCTCCTCTTAAAAACCCCCAGGGTGGGAGCCTGCACCACCTCACTTGGAAGCTGGTTCCAGACCCTAGCCACCCTGACCGTGAAGTAGCGCCTCCTGATGTCCAACTTAAACCTTCCCTCCACCAGCTTGTGACTGTTGTTCCTGGTCACTCCTTGCGGCGCTCGGGGGAACAGGGACTCCCCCAG